CATATCCTGATCACCCATTAAGGGTGATTGCCCTTCACCATTGATCGCCCATTAAGGGTGATTGCCCTTCTCCATCTGCATACAGTTTCATGCCCGTTGCTGGTTGGCTAACTAGCAACAGGGTCTTGCCAGCCAATGGAATTGTGTGATTACAAGCCAGGGGAATCCCATAAAAGAGGGCTCCCCTGGCCCAGAGAGCTGAGTCCGGATTTACTTTATGCCTTGCCAATAAACCAAGAGCTGACTGTCACTCGACTCGTGTCTTACTGCCTGCGTGATCTAACAGTCCTGTTCTTTCAAAGCAGGCTGTACCCTGTATTCCTCAAGTCTCCAAGCTAATTTCAGGCTCAGAGACTTGGATCAGCCTGAACAGCAGTTGACTAGCAAGAGGGGACCTACATGGTGAAGCAAATGACAGGTTCCTCTTTGCTGTTTCATGATGCAATTCTTCCTATGTCTGCCAGTTGTTTGGGCTGTGTTTGCATACAGGTTTAGCACTCTTCTGGAATGTTGCTAGACTTGTGTTCAGATGTAACACAGCTGATATCAGTCTGACTTAGAAATCACTTGGACAAAACCCAAGCAAGTTTTGACAGATGGCTAAACTCATCAGTCTACCCATTTATCAAAACTGGTTTCTTCCCTGATCTGCCTCATCTATACTGAGAGTGATTAGTAGATGTTTTCCTAATAGCTGGTGACATTAGGTAGGAGAGGAGGGAAACAAAGCCTGATAAATCAATTCATCCTTGTCCTCAGAGTGTCAGTATACTGTAAATAAGATCAGTGTCATTTGCTAACAATGTGCCTGCGGCAGGAAAGGTTGTCAATGAGGGTCACTTGTCTGCAGCACCAACTGAATGGTCACTGAATTTGTCAGATTGCACCCATGGTACAACTGTCACAGTCTATTGACTGCTTAAAGGGCAAAGCATTACTGTATAACTGAGGATGGCTTAAGCTGCCTCAGGTATGACTTGAGGATCAGGTGAAAACAATTTCATAAGGATATGAGGAAAAGGTTGCTGAGTAGGTGCAGGTATGGAAGGTACTGCATTGAGACACACCTTTTTCAAGCATTTTTTACCTTGCAGCCTTCACAGGTAATACAGCGGTAGTGGTACCCTGTGGCTTTGTCTCCACATACAACACACTGTTCATCTTTGTCCAAATAGCTAGGGATGTACCCTGTAGAAGAAAACAGCCAAGATGTCAAAGCTGGAAAGAGGAAACAGCAGCTGGAAGAGGTTAAGACCTACTGAAGTAGACTATGAAGCATTGTTGCCCACCACTCTCACTCCATAGAAAAACAGAGCAAGATAGCAACAGCTATTCCTTTGTGGCTACTTACCAGTACAGGTAGTCCTCGAGTTACAAATGTAATGGAGCCTGCCAATTACATTCATAACCTGAGAATTCATAGGAGTGAATGGCGTAACTTGAACGCAATCACTCCCTGCTTTTGCCCACACATTCGCTAATCGAATGCACGGGTCATTAAGAGCACACGAGGTATCTCAGGGTGAAGAAGGCCATGGGGGGCCTAGTGCAGGGACAAGACCACTGCGTCCAGCCACCAAAGGCCTCCCCCCACCTATTGAGAGACCCCATGCTTCTCTTTCCACCCCTTGGGGTCCAAAGCTGCTTGGGCCTTTCCTCCCCACCCCGTCACTGACCGCTAATTTACCTTTGGCACCACGTTTGAGAGCCCTGCACTTCCAAACAATTTTATTGATTTTTCCATTTTTACACCAGAACGCTTAAGAAACAACGTGGAGATAGGGTAATCAGTTAGGTACAATAACATCATACATATATAGCTCAAATAATGCTCCTTAAAATTTCCCTCTCTAACAATTAGAATAATATAGTCAAACTAATACATTTCTAAGTAAAATTAATTCATTAATACATTCCTAAATAAGAATGCAATTAATCAATAGAAATTATCAGCAACCTTTCAACGATGTAAATCAAACCCTGTTTTTAGGTTTATTAATTTCCAAATACCATATCTAACTTAGCCTTAAACAAAAATATTCTTTACAATTCGGGTGTCCATAATTTCTCTTATTTAAGCATATTATTCCCATAATTACATTCTTACATTTCTCAACTATATTCTATTTCTTATTCAGTAATTCTTCATTTATTAATTTGATCTCTTCCATCATTACAATCTTTTTATCATTATAGCTCCACAAATTAGCTATCATATCTAATAATAAAAAAAGCATAAGAAAAATAGAAAAAACTAATAGAAAGAAACAAAAAGAAACCAAGGAAAAGAAAGAGAAAAAAATGAAGATCTATTATTCCCAAAAATATATTCTTACTATATTTCAATGTTAAATTCTAAATCTTATCCTAAAGACACCTTTTAAAAATCCAAATCCAAATCAATCCACATCTCTATAAAGCCATTGCAACCCATAAATGTAATCTTAAATTCCATATTTATATCTTATTCTAGCTTTTTTTCTGTTCCAAACGGGTTTCCATAGTAAGGCCTCTAAGTCCACAAATAAAACTCCCTCCATTTCTTGCCGAAACGCATAAATCAGGGGAGAATCTCCCATTGTCCATTTTAATAGGCTAGTGAAAAAGTTGTAGCGATTCTCAATAGCTCATTTATTTATTTATTTATTTATTAATTACATTTATATCCCGCCCTTCTCCTTACGGACTCAGGGCGGCTAACAATCAGATAAAAAACACACACATTATACACCTATTAAAATTGATTAAAAAGAAATATTTAAACTCATCAAATTTAAAAATAATTAAAACCCCTTTAAAATCCCTTAGGCCAGTCCCGCAAGCTGGAA